AACATAAAGAGAAGCTTTAAAACTCTTTGAAAGACTCCCATTTGACTGAATTTAAAAAAAAGTCAGACTAGGAAGAGTTATGAGTAGCAAATCATAACAACTGAGAATAAGCTCAAAAGCCAGTGTAGATTAACATAATACAGCAGGTTCGACGTGTCGCGGTGCTAATGCTCTGCCAGTTAACTTATTTCTAACCGTTGTTTTGTTTCATAATGCAATAGGTATTCCACAAAAAGAAAAGCCCAGTACCTACAAAGGATATACAGTATTAGCACTTTCACCTGAGTCTGACGTTGCTGGGTCTATAAATAAATAGCTCCTGCGTGGTGGGCCTAGACGAGCGATACCCAGAACTGGGCTGTGCAGTTGAACCGTGGAGTTCTTAAGAAACAGTACGGTCCTTGAAAGAATCTTTTTTTATTTAGCTGGCAAATCTGACGGTGGATCAGGAGCTTTAAGGAGCCAGACAGTTTGATCTTTAAATAAATGGTCTGACAGTTGGTGTTTACCCTCACAAATACAATCTGTAAGACAGTAGATGCCTTTCTGTGACTCACGGCTTAAACAAGACCCATCATAACTTTCAGCTATAACTTGTTGCAGTCAAAAAAAAAAAAACTTTGTCACAAAATAGTCATTGGAAAGGTACCTCAAGCATTTAGCAATTACTTTGTCAAAGATTTACAGCATTACAGTATTGAAATAAACCCTGCATGCTGAGCAGCTAAACTCAAATGCCAATTTATAAGGCTTTTAACCTCTGGAACACCTCTGGATTGAGCACGCATGAGCAGACAGATCTGCCACCATGTGGGGCCTCATGTGACAAGAAGCAGACCCTTTTTTTAAATTGAAGAAAGATTTAGAAAAACAAAACGACAACATTTGGCGTAGCTTGATTTATAATGCAGTTTTTAGGAACTACAGATTTCTGAAACTCACAATGCAACAACAAAAAAACTGTGATTTAGATTACATAATCATTATTTGAGCAGGGACACATCTGTAAGGAGCAAGGTGTCCACAGGACGAGGATGCAGAACACACACACACACACACACTGAAAACTGTTTTTACTAAGATGTCTTCTGCAGATGTTAAACGGCCACACAGCTGGCGTGCGCATATGCAGACACAAACAACAGCTCTGAGCAGCAGCCCGGTTACGTGCACGTGGCATGTTCACGCCCCCGCGCAAACACACACACACACACACACACACACACACACATGCACACAGTCAGGGAGAAAGAGAAAAAGGGTGGTTATGCAAATGCACGGTGAAAGCAGAAGAATGCACTGGCCGTGGTTTCAGATCAATGATGTTTGAGTTATTTCTGACAGCTTTAAGAATCAGACGGACAGAACTACGGGGACAAAACTACGAAGGTCTTCAGAGGCTTACATAAGTTTCACAGGCAGTGCTGAGATAAAAGTGCGTTGTTCTAAATCCATTCAAGCAGCCTCAGTGCAGAAATGCATCTTAATGTCTGCTTTGGTGCCTCACCCATCCTAGGTGGTTGATATCTGTCTACTGTGTAAAGATATGTTGCATATTTGATTCCACTTCCACTTCCAAACACTTGATTCGCAGTTTGTACAAATGCATCTGCAATGATTTGCAAGGATATGTCATCCCCTTTGTTTTTGTGGTGAAGACTCCAGCATTTCCCCAGATGAATGTGTTCGTATCCTTCTTTCAGGTGAAGTATTGAAGTTATTGAATATTTATTATTCGTAGAAAGCCATTAAACAATTTAGCGGTTACTCAGCTTCCTGAGTGTGGTTAAATGTCTTTAAGTGAGCAGGTCTTCTGATGTAAAGAGCAGAGAGGATGAGATGACAGCAGGATGAGAAATGAGAATCCAGGTAAATGGATTTAAGGTAATTACTTTCCAGTTACATTTCTTCATTAATTGTCATAAGTGGAAACAACTGATGTGGCAGATAAACTAAAGACGCCCTACGTTTAATGATAGAGGGTGATGCCGTCTTTTAACCTGCACAATCAATCACACCTGCTTTTGCCATCTTAAACGTCCGGCTGTGAGGAAGGTCTGCTTTTATCGCTTCCTCCTCGGTGATTGTCTCTCTATGATAACACCCTGCAAGCTTATTGAAACTGATTCATTTCTTTGAGATGACAGTGACTGACAAGCAGGCCGTTAAATTTGGTGTTGATAAAAAAAAAAATTGCATAAAAAAAACAAACTTCCTTGTATATGCCGTTGTGTCTGTGATGACCACATTATTGACACAGAGACAGTATGAGAAACAGTTATAGTTACTGTGGCTTTACACAAACATGTGTCCAAGGTTTGGATAGAGTTTGAATGAGAACCATCTGTGGTTTGTAATTTTTCATCCGATTTGCAGGAAATCTTTGAAGAAGTGCTTCTTAATCCACAGAATGAATCTTTTCCCGTGGCTAGCATGGCAATTGGCAAATGAACTTAACAATAAATGCTTGTTTTTAATAATCATTTATTTGTGGTGGACAACTGCACCGTGAAGAACCGAAAACTGGATGAGCTTCTCAGTGATGATTTGCTGAGCCTTTCATTCAGCTGCCTTAAATGTTTGTTTGAGGGTCTTTTTCTTCTTTAGTTTTGCTGTATTGATGTCAAGTCACTGACTCAGCCACTGAAAATATTTCACTTCTACTCATTCAGAGAATCCTGGGATGCTTATGGAGTATACTGTTAATATGCACCTTTCAATCATCGTAGCAGCATTCGGCTGACTTTAAGACGACAGTCCATCCTTTTAGGCTTCTGAATGTATCCTTCTCCTTTCTTGTCAGTCCGGTGGAGGTTCATGCTGGGTTTATCCGGCATAAGCAAAAATTACCAAACTTGGAACTAACTCTGTATTTTTTTAAAGAACCAAAGGACAAACCCACAGCAGTTGGTTAATTGGATTTTTAGTCAATCTATCCTTTGTAATTGGTCTTTAGAAAAGGATGCTCGTGCACTGAAAAATTCCCCCCTCCGATTTGGATGCGGATACCATCAGATTCAAACGAAGAGCCTATACTTTGAGCAACATCCGATTATATCCTGGCCTAACTCTGCTGGCTTTTATCTACGATATTATTGAACATGGAAGCTGGGCCGCATCTATAACGCCCTCCCTAGTTCAATAGCATGCCTGGAGAGAGGTTGCATCACATCCTGTGTATTGAGAAAAATATAAACGAGCTGGGAGGCTCGGGCTGTATATGAAACAATGAGTCACTGTCACAGTATATACGTACACACGGGCTAATTTGGGTATTTGAAGGTATGTTACTGTATGCGTCCTCCGATGCCTGTCATCACAACAAATTAATTTATTTTTATTTTTATCTACAGCTGTCTAGACAGACGGTTATGTAATCCAGCAGGCAGGTGAGCCTCTCCTGTAGAGGTTCGGATCGGGAGAGACATTTGAACCAGGAGCGAAATCCACAGCAAACCTATTGACGAGACCAGCCTGGACCGCACTCGCTGTTATCTGCCCTGCAGCTTAATCAATCCCAACTAGGTCACTCCCTGCCAGCTGACTATGCGCGTGCACGTGAGCGCGCACGGCGTATGTATACGTGAGGACAGCAAGGATCAGTTGGGACCACGGTTGCCCTGAAATGGGTTCCTGTGGTTTTAACACAGGTGTTTATTTAATACCAGTACCAGCCGGCTGGGAAATGTGTTACATTTGATTTTGTTCTGTATATACATGCAAGCATAGATTGTGTGATATTCAACTATTAAAATTACCAAGAATTCTCTACAGTTGTCACATTTTGTGGCAAAAAATCCCTTCAGTGTAACTTAAATACCCATGAAAGCAAGTTCTTATGCAGTGGCAGAGCTAAAAAAAAAATTACAGTGCAAGGGTACAAATACAAGGGTGTTTGAATTTTTTTTCTACCCTATCTTCAAAAGTTGTCACACATTTTTGGTAAATAAACAGATGCATTTTGAATATGGACAGTAACCCTTTGTGAATCATACTTGGAAATATCTGTAGCGATCTTTGACGCTGCTTCCACAAAGTGTTCTGCAGCTGTGTGCAGGTATGTGGTACATGTCAAACTCACATCCACATGGCCAGAGTTTTGGAGCTGACCCTTGTGGAGAGCATCATCCTTCCTTTTCTACCTTGTCATCTTCTCATAGTTCTGTTGTCACCACCAGGATCTGCTGGATTAAAAAAGTTAAGTCCACAGGTGACCTCTGAGAAACAGCTTTTGTTAAAGTTGCTTAGATTTTTCAGGCTGTTTTTGCTGGTTCCTACACGATCCTAGAACTAATACTGAATCCTGGATGGGTTTTAAACAGCTTGCCGCATGCAACCAAACCTTTTCTTGACTCAGTAAGACCTATTATCTTCATCTCAAGGCACATGCTTGTTAGAAATCAAGAGAAAACACAGCCCTGAGATGATTTTTCCCAGTGGAAACGGTCTAAAAACTATTCAGGAAGCAGTTGATAGTTAACCACATGTATTTTATTGGTGAAAAACCAGGAGAAAAAACGGTGTAGAACATATTGACCTGATAAATATTCCAAAAAACCACTGACACATAATAACTGACCCTAGTTTTCCCTTCTCATTTATACAGGAAAACCTCGAAAGGAGCAGCTCAACGTGAATTATCTCAACTCACCCTACTAAAAATCTGCCTATGCGAAATGTGCGCAAAAGGGGGAGTTCACGTCTCCAAGCAGCACGTAGGACATTTTTCAATGTCACGAAAACGCTCCCATCACTTTCTCTCTTCCTCTCCCTTCACAGACGCTGCTGTCGAAGCCGTCAGAAGAGAAAAAGGAGGAAGCAGAGAGAGAGGGGAAGCCAGTGACGGATCCGTGCAACATCTGACTTAACTCAGCCACCTCCAGCCGAACGAGCGCATCTCGTCAACTCTTCCTCCTCCTCCTCCTCCTCTTCCTCCACTCCTCCTCCTCTCCTGCTCTTTCTCCGGGCAACTTTCGGCGGAGTCGGTGGTCTAACGGACGATGGCTGACTCTGCGGCGGCGAACAGCGACGGGGAGGACGGGCCCCGGCAGCCCATGCGCGGCTTCGCGCGCCAGGGCGCGCTCCGGCAGAAGAACGTGCACGAGGTGAAGGACCACAAATTCATCCCGCGCTTCTTCAAGCAGCCCACCTTCTGCAGCCACTGCACCGACTTCATCTGGTGAGGACCGCGCTCCCCTAGAATGACTTTTTTTAATGTAATTAAAAAAAAAATTTAAGATAGAAAGAGGGCATTTATGGTTGGAGAATAAGGGAAAATACGCACGATTTATAAAGAGGAACTCTGATGTTTAAAACCGTTGCATTACAAAGTTGTACCATTCTGGGTTTCTGTTTTATTATAGGAAAAAAAACAGATCGATTTGGGCCTTATTCTTCTACTTGTTGATACTGCATCTGTAACGTAGGGCAACAGGAGCCAAGACGGAGAAATATGTGGGCAGCGCCAATAAAATAGGAATAGGAGCAGACCATTGTTTGATGCAGTCAAGTAGGCAGGGGAACTGAGGGAGACTGAGAACGCGGAATAACCTGAGTGGTTTTAGAAAGTGGTTTCAAACGCCGCATGACCTCCTGCCTGCCTCTTCCCCCCTCCACCTCCGTCCTGTTCTCCTCCCTTGACCATCACTTGAGACATGCCACTGTATGGCCCACCCGGGTTTACTGGACAGGGATGCAGATCTTTGGAGGTTATTAGTGAAATGAATTCAGGGCTCTGGTTTGGCCTAATTTGTCCAGTTTATTATTATCCGCACGGTGCACTATTCCCAGAATGTCTGTTAGTTGAGCCCTGCGATGGGCTTTTTATAAATTTGTCAATGGCTAAATGATTTGACCTAGAATATTGTGTTCACGGGTTAATGGGATAGTCCCACAGGCTGCAAACACACCTAAAATGGAAGTATTGTGATATTTATATATATTTTTTGTAATATCTATCTTTCTGTCTATCTATCTGGGTCAATAAGCTTAATGAAGCAAATGAGTGCACGGAGATTTCACAGATAGAGATTTATTTTCTATTTGTAGCCACAATATGAAAATGAACAGGGCCCCGTGTGCGTTTGTGTTTCCATAAGCACCTGAAGACATCCCAGCATGCACCCAAACCGTTTGACCCGCTATGGCCGCCCGTTTTACCCCGTGGCAGCGGCAGTTCCTCCTCACTAAGCAGTAACCGTACTGCACTCCTCTGTACGTGTGTGTGTGTGTGTATCTTTTAGTGGGGTAGTGCTTCATTAACATGGCACACAGTGTTAAACATTAGGCTATATGCAAACATGTAGAGCTGAGGGGCTGTTTTTTTTTTGTGTGGACATTGTGTGTAAATTGCTCTTTATGTTCTCTCTGCAGGGGTTTTGGCAAGCAGGGATTCCAGTGTCAAGGTGGGTCAATTAAACACACACACACACACACACACACACACCTACACACACACACACACACACACACACTAGGCGGCAGGACTACATATTAATGACTGACAATTTGTTTGTTCCTTTTTTTTTTCATCCTCTCTGCTAAGTTGTTTCCTCTCTTTCATCTCCTCCTCGCTTCCTTTTGAATGTCTTCCTTACCAGAACAGAAAAAGAGTACCCCACAGTTCTCCCTTGGTTCATAAAGTCCTGCATGCACGAAACAGAGCTAAATCATGGCCAATGGCCCTCTTTTACAATGCACATAAAGCGACACATAAAGCGTACATTTGCTAAATGAGCTGAAATTAATCCGTGGAGTTAAGCATTCTTAGTGTGGACACAGTGGTGGACTTTGATTCATGATAGGAACAAAATAAGCAGCACAAGCAGCAGAGGGACAATGTTTTCATTTTATTCAGGCGTCCTTGAGACGGTGACGTAGATGGTGTTCAGCCTTAATTGAAGTTATTGTCAAAACCATTCTCCTTGGGATGTAAGTCGAACCCTCTTTTCAAATGCATTTATTTAGCCGTGATTGGTCTGCGAGAGCTGCTCTGATGGAAAATGAGCTTTAAGTTCCTGTGCTCCTTCCTAGCTGCATGAAGGGTCGTTCTTAATCTCGGCGTGTAACACAACATCAGTCGGAAGCATTAAGTGATTATTTGGCATATTATGTTTCAATGAAAATGTCACTTGAGGTGAATGCTAAAATACAAAAAGGCGACGACCTTATATGAGTAAACCTCCTTCCTCCTTTAGTTTCTTCTCTTTTTTTTTTCAATCAAAACTGAGCAGCAGAGACAGATCCAGCGTCCTCTTTGCAGCTTCCTCCACGCCAGACGATGTATAAGCTACCACAGAACATGACAAAAATGTGGAGGAGCAGTTGGCATTTGTGTTTTTATTCAATTTGCTCGAAGTCTGCGTTTTTCTTCTTCTTCTTTTTTTTTTTTTCTTCCTTCCACTGTTTTAACAGCCAGTTGAATGTTCAAGGATTTCTCTAGTCTCCTAGCAACAGGGAAACATTCAGACGCAGCCCCTCTATATGCGGCAGGATGGAAGACGCAGCCGTGGGTTAGCCGGTAATTAGCACATGCGTACATGTGAGGTGTCAGTAGTATGCTGTAGGGAAAGCATCTGCCTCACCGATCTGCTTCACTGGGCCGCTGATTGGCTGGGGAGGGGACGGAGAATGGAGCAGGTGTGTGTTCCTAGAGTTTGGAAGAGGTGGTTTGGGAGGGTTTTAGTTTTTAGACCAAACCGTCCGACTGAACTTAGTTCGTTTGAGCGTGGGACCCCGGTTGCCCTCCAAGCCATTTGTCGGTGTAAATCCGGCTATATCCTTACAGCACTGGGAGAAAGGGAATTCCTCTGTAAGGTCACATGCAATCACCCACACTCACTATCTCCCTCTCTCTCTCTCTCTATCAAACACACACACACACACACACACACACACAGAGCCACAAGGGGTGAAGTGAGCTATCATTGTTTGGGCGTGCTTTGCTGCTTGGCTTCATATGGCCGTGCTAGTTCCCAGAGAAGTGCATGAATCAACATGTTGGGATCGCACTGCTTTTGTTACACAAAAACCAAACACACCGTTCCATGTGATGACTGTTTGCCATTTTTGCGGTTATTTTTTCCCATTTCAAGGTTGAATGATAGGCCAGATGTTTGCAGCGGTTTTCTTTTATATTGAAACACGAAAAAAGGACGTTTGGTTTACCTGTGTCAAACTGTCTTTTTACAGATTTTTAATTGTTTTCCTTGTACCTGGTGTCACAGAGCTGCAGCTCAGAGTGGCGTGTGCGACTAAAGAGGATGTGGCTTAACACTTCTCCTTGTCTAGATCAGATCTATTGACAGTCAGATGATGCGGTGCAGTTTTCTTTTCATTTTTTTTCCTGATGAAGACTTGTATCTGGAGTCGAGATGCTGTCGGCTTTGACCATGCAACTGGAAAGCAGCTGGTCTTAGATTGAAGTAGATGAATTCATAAATCGTGGTTTGGTTGTGGTGCAGTGCAGAGGATGAATTCAATCTGTCTTCTCACTGCCTGAGGAAAGAATTGGATGTTGAGAACATTTTGTCTTTGCAGTGAATAATTGGTTTTTATAACCCCTCCTGCTGTAGAACTTTCTGTTGTCCTTCTTTATGCTAATCTTTGTGCCACTTTATTTGTTACATTTAAACTTCGATAGTTGTTGATAATATCTCATAACTGTATGTCTTTAATAAGCCATCATGCAATGAAGTCCCCCCCCCCTCTTCTACAGGGTGGAGGCTGTTTACACCTCCATTTCTGTGCCCTCTGTAGGGGTGTCTGAGGAGAAAAGGGCTCAGATCTCTGTACCAGACTCACAGCAGAACTCAAACCCTTTTTTTTTAGCTTTTTGTTTTTACTTCTTTTTTTTCAAAGCATTGAGTGAACTGCAGACACTTCCTTATTCTGTGTGTGATCTTTCGGTGACCTATTCCACCCACAGAGAGAATGAACAGGTGGGCAGGGCACAGACGCAGTCATTACGTTTCATTGAGTTTGTGAGACAAATGTGGCGAATCCAGCAGGAAGCTCAGCTGCCGGTCACTGTAGACATTGGAAAAATGACCTCTCTATCATAAAGTCTTTGTTTTATTAATAACAAAATTAAAGAATGTGACCAAGAACCTGTAAATCTGACGAAATTATACTGTCTCAGGATCCTCTTCGACTGAAAAGGATAAGCTTTCAAGTTTTCCTGCTGTTTGATGCAGTCAAATACTGTAATTCGATGTGTTCAGATGAACTGCATGAACGTTAGACATCAGTACTAGAGGTTTTACAGTAGTGAGTAAGGTAACGGGCCTTATACATGACTTATTTCTCTAAACATTCACCACATGGCTTCTTAATAGTGCACACTGCCACAAACCTGCTTTAACCGTGAGCTGCTGCATTTACTGACCTCTAGCACCTGACAAACAAGTAAGAGGCGGAGTCACACTTCCTGGCCAAAGTTTGCCAACGATGAGCTGGTTGGTGATTAGATCAATTCTAATAATTTTTTTCTTCTATTACTTTTTTATCAGTTTTTGTAAAACAAATCCTAAACTACTGTCTGAGGCATCGCCTTGCTCACTAAAACCAAGCTTATGTTGGGCTAGAGTAGAAAAACGCACACCTAATGCACACATCATGCTACAATGCACTCCTTTACCTTTGGTAAGAAACGGGTGCTTCCAGCTGTGTGAGTGTGTGACTGTAAACACAGGGCGTGGAGCTGGGGGGGGGGGGGGGGGGGGGGGGATGACCCGGGGGGGGGGGGGGGGGGGGGGGGGGGGGGGGGGGGGTTCGCTCACAACGCCAGTCTGTGAAACATTGCGAGTCGGAGAAACTGACTCCCACAGTGTTGTTGCTGTAAACAATCAACCGTAACGCCTCAATGGGATTCGACTGTTAAGTTTTCCATCCTCTAGAAAGAGTGTGGGATTCCAGCAGCTTGTGCCGTGTTATGTAATGTTTATTTCCAAGAAAATGTGCGAGCAGGAGTTTTCATCGTGTCATACTCGCTGTGCTCGGAGTGTGTGTGTGTGTACACGTGCTTCGTGTTCCACTTAATGAGCTGGTGAGCTCTCATTTCCTTAATGGCTGCTTGTGCAAAACTGTGTGCACACTAATGCTTCTGTGTGATTGGTTTAGTGTGTGTGTGTGTGTGTGTGTGTGTGTGGATGCGCACGCTTGTTCACGTGTTCCAAAATGAGCGATAATGAGTTGGGTCTTAGTTTGTAACAGGCTGTTGAGTGTTCTCCTCTGTCTCCTCACAGACTTAATGGACAAATGATCCCTTTAGAGAGCTTGAGAGGGACGGAGGAGACGTTGAGAGGCAGGATGTTCGAAAAAACCTCACAAGTAGTGGACCCAGGGAGAAAGACGGAGATTCGGTGGAGGTTTAAAAAAAAAAAAGGAAAGAAAAAAAACCTGGGCAGATGCATGAAAAGATGGTGAGATGAGAGGGAGGAGAATAAGACGTACAGAATAAGTAGATTTTTTTTAAAGAGATGGAGATACAGAGAGGGAGGATGTGAGTGGGACGGGCACAATAAAAAAAAAAAAGATTGCATGGAATTTGCTCTGAATTTGAATGTTTGATGAAAGTGAAAAGAAACGTGATGCAAAGAAACGTTACACATGGTTTAAAAAACATCTTAAAAAGTCACATGGCTTGAAACGAAGGAGGATGAGGGATGCTCTATTGAGGCATGCTCAATGTACTAGTTTTTTAACATATGCAATCCATTAATGTGATTATTGTAATAACCTGCAACATTTATTTAATGAGGCAGAGGAGTACAAAAAGGTATGCTGGAATGGCACCAGTGAGGTGGTGGAGAGATGTTTTTTTTTCTTTCAGGGAGAGAAGATAATGGATAGGAAAGATGAAGTACAAGGGACGCAAGATAAATGGAAGAGAAAAATGGTGTAGGCGTGTTTAAGTGTAATTTGTGCCTAAAAGAAGCTTGTGAAGCTGCTGCGTGCCGCAGCTATTAGCGACCCTCAAAAGGAGAAAAAAATGTACATTTCTATAAAAGATGGAACGGGTAGGGAGCTCTGTGTGAAGCTGGCATTGGCTGAGGCTATCTTGTGCGCCGGAGTTTAGCTCGGCGTCTCTTTTGTCAACTTTCCGGCCGCCGTTTTTTGGGCACAGCGCCCGCCGTTCCTCTGAAATCGCGTTTCGAGTGTGTTCTGGCTGGCTTCAGGAATCTGCGCGGGGTTGCGATGGGCTGCTGCATATTTACAAACGCTGGCGTCTGTTGCAGCTCAGGTGCTTCTGCAGCTACAACCCGAGTGGGTGGGAGGTCGCAGGATCTAAAACCTGCCTCCTACACTTACACTCACACACACACACGCACACACACACATGCACAAACCGCATCCACAAAAAAAAAACTAATGGGTTTTGTTGAGCATAGGAAAGCTGACACAAAGATGCTGAGGTGTTTCATTGGATGCTGATGCAAAGAAAAAAGGTTAAACATTTGACTGTTCTCCAGTTTTTCGTTTTCTCTCTTATTTGGTTCCTTTTGACCCCTCTGGTCTGATCTTTCTCACTCACTGTTTTCTCCTTCACGTGCGTCCTTCCCATCCCGTCTGGTATCTGTAGGCTACTCCATGTCATTGGTAAATCTGTCTTTATCGACAGTTCCCTCCATTGAGCCCCCTCCTTATGCCTTTTACTCCCCTTCTCTTCTTTTTCCACTATCCCACCAGCTACCCCCCCCCCTTTCTTTCTCGCAAGTGGCTGCGTGCTAGAAGCTGTGGGCTTTGATGCTTTTATAAATAGCTAAAGTGTTCCACCGAGAGTACCACCAAATGGGATGGATGGATGGATGAGGGAGTGGAGAGGAGGGTGGATGAGGAGGCTGGGCTCGGTGCGTAGGTGTAAGGGGAGAGCAGTGGAAATCATCAAAAAGAGAAGGCAAAGATTAAAAAGTGACAGAGGCACGGGGATGTGACAAACAAAACGATAAAGATCAGACAAAAAATTCTATACGGCTGGCGTCAGGATTACAATCAGCTCAAAAAGCAGATGGTGCTCATATAGGGTTTCAAATGCATTTCCACAGAATAGCTCTTCGTTTAAATGTGTAAATGTGAGACCTACCATTAAGAAAACGATAAAGCTGCTGGAAGAAAAAGTCAACTCTTGATAACATTTGGCTTGCTAGATTTAAGCCATTATTGAGTATTTTCTTGAAGTTAATGGTTAGATTATATAGCTAAGGCTAAATTTAGCATCTGCTCAAATCTAAGGCAACTTACAAACTATGAAAAGATTTGAAGAACTGGTATTTATTGGACATGTGGAAAAAGCATTCATATTTTACAGTGTCTGGTGAGCACTAGCTGTCACAGCTGTTGGTTTTTGGCCGCGTGAAACGCCTCTTTAGGGCATTTGCTTGCAAGATTCTGAAATGTTGGACACAATGAATGTGGATTAAACAGACTTATTGACTTGTTGATTTGCTTTTGGACTTTGAGCCTGAAATGTTGATCGAATCACGTCCATATGGACGTGCTTCCGCCGCACTATATCATGAAGTTATTACGTGGACATTTGCTTAAAAAAAAAAAAAACAACTAAATGTTTTGTGGTTTGAAATAGTCCTTTTGGAAAGTTCCATGCCATTAACCTTCATATATCCATCCTGCTGCCAACCCCAAGCCTCCCAGCAGCTATACAGTCAATAAACTGCATGAGTTCTCTGAGTCAGTCTCCTGATTATTGTCAGAGAAGTTCTGACCTCTTCCTAACAGGCTTTCAAGCACTTTATTTGCAGCGTTTTGAAGAGTTCATGTTACACAACACCATTCTGCGGTCTTTGGTGACGTGGGGCTGCAGCTTGTATAGCTCTCTTTGTGGACTTCGGTTGGCTCGACCTATTGACGGGGCCAAAAATATTGCTGCATTATTGTGCATCGATTTGGCTCCCTGGTGCTTTTTCAGACACAGCCGACCTGAGCTCTAACAGCTTGTGCCCATGCTGCCCAGCAGTCGAGCTGAAATCCAATGTTTGAGACGGGAATCCGTTACTGGTGGAGGCAGTGGGGGGGTGGTCATCGTTGCTTCCTCCGATGTGAACTCTTTTGGCTCTGAATCTGAATAGTAGCATTAAGTATTTTTTACTAAGACCACTGTGGTTTTGTGCATGCTAAGTTTTTAACTGACAGTAACTGTACAGCAACACCAAGTGTTACTTCCTGTTCTGAGTTTAATTTGGTTTAGCCCGTGTGTACAGTATATGTGTGTGTGCGCGCGCTTCCGTTAATGTGTGAGCACATTTGGAAAGTGTCATGTGACTGACTCGTGTTGTGCTTGTGTCCTCCTGGGTGTGCTTACACATATTTATACACTAACACAGTGAAGCTATAGAACTGAAAAACGAGTTTTCTCATTTTATGGGCTTGTCAGCGGTACCCTTTCTGATGGCTCTCTGTATGTGTGTTTTATTCAACAGGTGTGTGTGTGTGTGTGTGTGCACGAGGGAGAGAGAAAAATCTAATTTTACTTGTCGCAGAGGATAGGCTCCTTTTGCTCTGGTCTACTTTCAAACATCTGAAGACCCCGATCGCACGCGTTGGTTTGTGAATGCGCTGGCTTTGAGCTGCAGATGGACAGCCAGTGGCCTGCAGGACCGGTTCGTCTTCCCCCGCTGACATTTGCGGCAGTGGTCCGCCCGTTGCTACAGTGACACCTTGGAGACATAGCAGGGTGGATCAGACAGCTAATGTGGGTCACGCTTGTTTGACATCATCCACAGACACAGACACAGGAGCAAACGGCACTGGACAGCTTCTGGCAGAATCCTCAAATGTTCCACAACAATCAAAAACTGAATACAGTTAGCAATGGAACATTAGCAGGTGTCGGGAGTCATATTTGAAGTTTCAGAATAAATGGGCTTGGATTTGACTATGTGTGCGCCGTTTATGTTGTTTAGCAGTAGGACTTTTTTTTGTTTGTTTGTCGTTTGCTGCTCTCCTGAGTTGGATTTTAATCTGCCTGTCATGTGGGCGTACGTCTGTCATCAAAGTAATTTTTTTTTTTCAGGACGATTCAGTGTATGCAACAGTCCATTAACTAATTAAGTCCTGATAAATGCAGAACTTATTAGAAAAAAACAACTTTACATTGTCATCTGCTCTCGGTGCCAAGTATTACTCAGGGTCTGAGTCAGACAGGGTCCTTTAAGAGAGCAACTTGAGAGCTAAAACCAGACACTTTGTGTCGAGTAAAGAAAAGCGGATATTTGAAAAAGAAAATCCTCAGATCATCCGCTGCATTTGGTTCCTTATGTGTTTAAACAGTAAAGCTTCACACGGCCTATGAGGGAGAATTAGGCCCCCTCCTCTGAGCGCTCATGCGCGCGTTCATGCATCATTAAAGCTTCTATCTGGAGGATATGAGTTTTTGACTTTATCAGTACCGTACATCAATATGCCAGTGACACTAAAGCAAATTTCCGCCTTTTTATTGCAATCGTCAGAGGTACTCCCTTTTTAAAAAAATTATAATTCGCAGTTTGATGAAATACCCGGGCTGGAATCTCTGTGTTGCTAATCTCAGTCAGTGATAATCATTATTAAAGTTTAGCTATTTTTTTCTTGTCACTCTGAGCCTGCTGGATACCGCAGGCTGAAGAAGAGAAAAACTAAAAATACATGACTACTGGTTATGCATGTTTGGGAGATTTAGCATACGTCGTATGTGTTGGTGGACGCACATGTCCAACAACACGGTGGGTGCATAGGAATTTTAACTTCAGTAAAAATTCAGTCAGTATCTTGGATAGCGTTTATTCAGCATGACTTTGGGCATTTTATGCCAGCAACTTACACAGTAACCGTGAACTTCTTCTTAAAGGTGTATTTTGATGTTTTTCTGCAGCTGGACTGCACATCTGTTGCCAATTGCATGTTGTTTGTGGAGAAGCAACTCAGCAAACATTGGTGTTCCTTATGCCTGGTGGTTTTCAAACCTTTTTTAGTGAGTGTGCAGAATTCAAAGTGATGTAATTCTGATGTAGACTTTCTACTTCTGAGGCACAGGAAATACAACCTGCCTGTCTTTCCTGCTTCTTTTTTAGGTCATCCCTTGTGCCTAGAATTTTTTAACTTAAAAAAAAAACTTTTTATCTGAGCTTTTGATACTTGGTTGTATTTTCACTTTGGCTTTTCTTCTTTGAAAATGTGGATAATCATTAGCAGTATTTTTCTGATGAGATTGGACGAATATGTCTTTGTCTTATACTTCATTTTACTCAGTATGTCGGAGCTCCTTTTTATTTTCACTTTGGGTGATGTGTCTCCTTTAAATGGAGCTTACTGGTTGCTACAGCTTGACCCTTCAGCCACTTTTATTTCATTTTAGTGATGTTTCTTTTACCTCAAATGAGCTTAAAAGCTATTAAAATTATACTAAATAAAGGCACATTTAGGTGTGTCGGACCATTTCTCATCCACTTTACTCTCATCACAGAAATCAAACGCTACCTCTGCTCACGATGTCTTTAATCATTAACTATCCCAACACTTGGCGCCTGCATTATAAGCAGGACCTCTGCGCTGCTCTGTTTTGCTTGTTTGCAGAGTAGGTGAGCGATTTGATCTCCCCGCATTGTAGTCGAGGCAAATTGGTGCTGATGTGGAGATGAGTTAAATGTCTGAAACGTGAGTCATAGTGTGTGGGTGTGATGGCCCACCTGGATTACTAACTGCTTGGGGGGAGAGGGG